AAAATAAATGTATTTTATGGAGGATCCGTGAAAATAATTTTAATCGGACAAATGCTGAATATTGGATCTGATAATCATTAGTAATCGACTTAATGCTGAGGACTAAACATCTGATTCTATTCAGGAATTCTTATTTTTAATCTGACTTTTACTAATCGTCTAACTTTGTGGAGTGTTAAATGACCAAAGTTACATATTTTAGGGTCAATAGAGGATAATCCTAAACTCACTTCTCCTTTATTCATATGGAATAAAGATTGTTTCCCTCAATGGTCATAACAGCATTCATCACACCACTGTTAGCGCCGGTGCTAACGCTGGGTTTTATAATGAAGAATCGGCTCCAAATTGAAATCTGAAACCTCCATGCAGACGACACACTCGTTCCTCCATCCGTCTCCTTCCGTACCAACAAAACGCTCTTTCAGTTAAATGAAGAAATAAGTAAGAAGTGGCCCCAACCAACCTTTATGTCAGCATTTTCTAAACAAATCATTAGACCGCTCCTTGGATGAGGTCCAGAAAATGAGAGTTAAAAGAATATATCTGCCACAGTCCTGGAGATTTACTGCCTGCGTCAGTACACACTGACCAAGTGGAGAAAATGAAGAGGAGAAATGTGGTGGAGGTGCCCTTGAACGCGGCACCGAGGCAGCTCCCAGGTGTGAACGCGTGTCGCTTCGGCGTGAAGCGGGCCGTCATTCACAAGCAGCAGATGTGCTCACGGAAACTTTCTCAATGACTCCAAATATCGTGTTTTTGCAGCCGTCGGTGTGAACCTATGGGTTTCTACATAACTTTTTTTTCCTCCCGTCTTTCTTGTGCTAATCTGTGCTATCAGGTCCGCTGGCCTGCAGTCTGTCATCTCAACATGGCCTTGAACAAAATGTCTCTGAGGACCTGGGGAACATCAGTGTACTCGTGAATAAGAACACAACAACATAACCTACTTCCACCCATCCCCGTCTCTATTTCCCTTTTCATATCCAGGATGGGGGGTGGTGTGTGTGTGTGTGTGTGTGTGTGTGAGACAGAAAGAGAAAGAGAGTTTGTGTGTGTGTGTGTGTGTGTGTGTGTGTGTGTGGCTCCTCCTCCTCCTCCCACTTCTCTGTGTTATCACATCACACTGTGTTATTGGCCACTTGTATTCAGCCAGTTGGATACTGTGCCTTCTAACCTGCTGTAACCCCACTGTGGTGTTTAAACAGTAATTCAGTTCACTGCCAGTAGTATAAACAGAGGCGGCACTCAACATGTCAGTCAGCTAAATTGGATAGTTTTCTTTTACAAGGCTGTTGTTCACAATAGGTGTTACCTGCAATTTGCATTTTGAGTACAGCAGCAGTTAAAAGTCTGATCAAAGTCCTCTCCAAAGTGCTATTCATAAAAAGTTGATGTCGTTTATTGTTGTTGTCCGATTCCGCCGCCGCTGCTTCTTGCTGTCCGACGTCGGCCTCGAGTCAGACGAGCAGCTTCGGTAATTTAGATGGTATCTCACCTCGTGACCTCTGAGCTGAGCCGACCTCTCATCTTTGAACTCCGGCCCCGAATGCCACATAAATGGAGATACAATATCCTCCCTTTCATTCCTCCCTCCCCGGCCGGAGCACGCTGAACTCTGCCCTCGAAGCTTTTCACAGAAATGCAGTTCAGGAAAGTCCGTCCTTTGACCTGGAGTATGGGGACAGATTGTGACTGACAAAAAAGAAGTCTGAGGCCTTTTTTAAAACATTTTGTCACCACGTTATTTATGCACGGAGCTGTTTGGTTACAGACGTGGACTGGCTGGAGAAGAGTGCGACGCTTCACGAAGGTTAACAAGTGTTTAAAAGACGTGAGGAAGTGGACTTTGTTTAACAAGAGGGACTCTTTACAGTCTTGTTAACAGGATGTGTGCAACTGTGCTGGAGTGGCATCAAAATTAAATAATCCACAACTAAAGGGGAAATAAAAGAATTTCACAGATTAAAAAAAAAAAAAAAAGTCAACATGCAAAGAAGGAAAAATGTCATAAAAAGTCAAATCCTTTGTTTGTCTAATTAACCAGCTGAAGATTTGTGCACTGTTTAGGTATTCTCTGGACAAGCAGAAATACCTCGTTTGGCATATACTTCGAAGCTCCGCACCGTATTTTTCCATCTGTATAATACTGTAATATAGCCGGTTCATCACCTTTTGGGTCGGCGGGAGTTCACCCAGTGGTCACTGGGGCAGATTATCATTCAAATCTTTGGCTGGGATATGCAGATTTGATTTGTTCTTCCATTCTGGAATAAAGTAATCTGACCTCAGGCCTCTCTAGGATTGTTTTTTTATACTGTATTCCACTGAATATTTCAAGGTAAAGCAAAAAAAAATAAAAAATAGATGGAAAACATATGAATGCGTGGGCAAAGGTCAGCGCTGCAGCGGCCCGGCAGTGCAAACAGACCAGAGTTTAGATTCAGACGCCTGATTGTCTCAGAAGGAGGGAGGCGGATTGTCAGCAGACATTAACCCTCCACCTTTGACCTATACTCCCCAATTTCAGCCGCAGTATCTCCCAAGGTTTGGAGTGAACTAAGGCCCTCTTGGGAAGGAGGCAGGTGCGAGCTGCAGTGGGAGGGCCCGCTGGAAGTCACACCATACTGGAACCTTTGAACTGGAATGCGTATGAGATGGTTGTGACATTCCCCACGTATACAGCTGCAGGCAAGGTTCTACTAAAACCATATGACACAGCAAAACCTGCCGGCGCACACACACACACAGATGAGTTCTTTGACTGCTTCGCTTGAATGAACGAATAAACACAACAATGCAAATAAAGCAAATTATAAGACTTCACTCTGCAGCCTGCTATCTAGACAGTAGGTCTGCTGTATAAATACGGTCGTAGCAGAATATCAACTAGTGCCAACCGAATGTAGGTTAAGTGGAGCAACAACGTTTTCCTTACAGTGTAAATAAAGAGGAGAAAAGTGGAGCAGCCACATGTAATGTTACCGCCGTTCTGTGTAATGTTTAATCCACCTGAAGGCTCGGCTCATTAAAAAACATGACTGTGAGAGAATTACGCCATAAAAGACTGGAGGTCAGCTGCAGTCACAAGAGTTCCTTATCAGGTCCTCGATGCCGTTCTAGGATTCAGAATCACAGACAGATGTTAGAACCTTTGTTTACATCAGCCGCAGAGTTCCTGAAGAGCAGCTCTGAAGCTCAGACCAACAGCTCCAGTTGTGTCCATCCCGGCAGTACTGGACTCTCAAATAATCCAGAAGTGAGTGAAGCTGAGGCGGGTCGTGGACCGTCCTGTGATAGAACCCAAAGTAGCTTCACTCAAAGCAGCAACAGCCTTAATTTTTCATTACCTTAAACCCTAATACAATTCAAATCTGTGATTC